GACGGGGTGAGCTCCCGTTGCATGGTCCCTGCTTCTGCCAACCTAGCAGTTCGAAAGCACGTCAAAGTGCAAGTAGATAAATAGGTACCGCTCTGGCAGGAAGGTAAACAGCGTTTCCGTGTGCTGCTCTGGTTCGCCAGAAGCGGTTTAGTCATGCTGGCCACATGACCCGGAAGCTGTACGCCGGCTCCCTCAGCCAATAAAGTGAGATGAGCACCGCAACTCCAGAGTCGGCCACGACTGGACCTAACGGTTAGCGGTCCCTTTACCCTTTACCTACCATAGGCTAAGGATGAACTTGCTTCTGGTAGTGGTAAACCAAGTATTCAATGTTTCATTTTGTGTAGGGGTAATGTGGGTTTCTGGTATTTGACCTTTGAGTATTGTGCTGCTGTTCTGTTTTATTGGACTGCTTTGTAGAATACAGTGGTACCTCTGGTTGTGAACGGGATCCGTTCCAGAGGCCCGTTCGCAACCTGAAAGGAATGCAACCCGCGTATGTGCGTGCGCGGGTCGCGATTTGCCGCTTCTGCGCATGCGCGTGATGTCATTTTGCGCATTGGCGCATGCGCGAGCTGCAAAACCCGGAAGTAACCCTTTCCGGTACTTCCGGGTCGCCGCGGGACGCAACCTGAAAACGCTCAACCTGAAGCAAACGTAACATGAGGTGTGACTGTACTGTTATTTGTTTGCCTCACCGTATATTATTGTTCTCTGCCTTTTGAGAAATTATCTCATGTATAAAGGGTATAAATTTATTGAATATATATAAAATAAATAAGCAAACTCCGGCTCTAAGGTTTAGATGCTTTTGTTGAGATTCCTGCATTGCAGGGGGTTGGACTAGATGACTGTTGCGATCCCTTCCAACTCTACGATTCTCTGATTCTGTGGTCTTCTGGACGGAAGTTATTTGAAATTTCATTCACAGAATGCTGAGTATCAGCGTTCTTGGCAACAGAAGAGCGGTTCATATCCTGGGTTTGAACTTAACCATAAAACAGATATAATCCCCAATTAATAATTTGAGAGTTATTGAGATAACCAAATCCACTGGGTAGATTATGCAGTAATTCCATTACAGGAATAATTTGTAATTAATCATGCCTTTCCCCCCTTGCACTGTACATAGTTTTAATTGAGAACTGCTATTACCAGGCGTAAAATGACAACTGCTTGGTTCACATGGAAACGACTAGCAGCCCAGGGTTAGAACTTACATACCAGAACCCAAGCGTTTATGCAAGTGTGTGCATGAAATAATATTGCAGTTCCTCTATGCATTGTATTAGCACAGTTGTTTAGATCTGGGGTCCCAAAAGCCCGAGCCACTGCCATTTTTATCTCTCTTTGCATCGCTGTTTCCCTTCTCAGTCTTTTCTGCAGCCCAATAAAGTAGCTGATGTCAGGTGACATATAGAGAGTGAGAAACCCTATGGAGCTGGTCTTCCAGCACAGCTGATATAACGGCCCTACCAGTGTTAGAAATTGAGATATGAAAGCTAGGAATTAAATGGTACCTTAAACCTAGGTCAGGGTGCTGCAATGGAGCGTCTAGGCACACTTTTTAAATAACAAGAATACAAAGCTGAAAACGAATGAACTGCAGCTAAAATATTATGCTCATTTTTCACATGGTCTAGTCCTCCTCCCCACATTCTTATGATAATATGATAATATTCTTCTCCAGTCTTCAGTGAGGGGCTGGAAGTGGGGAGGCAGGAAAAGGTCCTCCTTTTCTTCTACCAGTAGCAGTTTTAATCTGAAACCTTAGGCTCAGTACAGCGCCCAGAGCTCAGAAACTGCTTGCATTATTGAAATTCCCTGTCGCAAAACACGCCTGGAACAATGGGAGTTTCGAACCCTGGGCCCTACCACTGAGCTCTTTGTCTGCTGCAGCCTTTATGAATTTATTGCCACTTGGGTGCTAGTCAGGCTGCATTGAATGTTCCTGAATTTTGACATTCATGTTAAAAGAATTACCGTATTTTTCTGTGTATAAGCCTAGCCCCCCCCAAAAAATAATGTCAAAAATTTAGGGACGTTTCTATACATGGATACATCTCTCCCCCCCCCCCCCATTTTCTTAAATCATAGTCCCCAAAAATAGGGGGCATCTTATACATGGGGGGCGTCTTATAGGCGGAAAAATACGGTGCTTACCTTGCCAAGCCCTTCCACTCATTCAGTACTCTTTGGTTATCTGACTGTGGCTTCCTCTCAGCACTTCTTTGCCTGTTGCTGCCCTCATTTGCCCTCTGGCTGTGAATTCGTTTGCAGGCATCATTGGTGCCATAATTTAACGGCACACACTGTAGGGTATCATTACATCAGAGCAATGCAATGTCATGAATGGAATTGCAAGCGTTGCCAGAGCCAACTTCTGGTTAACAGCAGTGAGAGCAAAGAACTTGAGGACAGGGAGAGCAAGTAAGAAAATTGGCAACAGCCATGGAGAAAAAAAGAGTGTCAAAGCAGCACAACTTTTGTTTGCAACAGATATCAAACCCACCTCCTGAAAATGGGAGGTGACTTTTCACACAAATGAAAGAGAGCATGAAATTTGATAAGCTACTTGTAGTGATCAGGTGGGATTGCTATGAGGAATTATAACAAATATAGAGTAAGCCACCTGTGTCAGCAATGAAAGCATTGTGTTGACTGGGTTTAAACTATTTTGATATGATTCTTGATCAATCCACACCTCTGCATCCCTGTTCCATTTCTCTTTCTTCACAAGTCACGTACCCACTTAGACAGGCAGGTGTCCTTAGTCCAGTGTTTCCCAACCGGTGTTCCGCGGCACACTGGTGTGCCGTGAGACCTTGCCTGGTGTGCCGTGGGAGGGAGGCGGGAGAGGCGGGGCGGCGGCGGCATCTCCTGCTGGATGCAAATCCAAACATGGCGGGCGCCTCCCTCGCTCCTTTGTAGGCGGACCATCGAGAGAGAAAGAAAAGGAGGCGAAAGAGCGAGAGAGGGCGCCTGCGCGGAAAGAGGAGCGAGCAGTGCGCCTGCGCGCCACGGCGCCCGAGATCGCTTCTCCCCACCGCCCCTTGCTTCAAAAGAGGTCCGGGGACAGCGGGAAGCGCTTCGCGCTGCCCCCGGACCTCTTTTGAAGCAAGGCTTTGCGGGGAGAAGCGATCTCCCCGCAGCCCCTTGCTTCAAAAGAGGTCCGGGGGCAGCGGGAAGCGCAGCGCTTCTTCCCCGCTGCCCCCGGACCTCTTTTGAAGCAAGGGGCTGCGGGGAGATCGCTTCTCCCGGTGCTCCGAAGCGGGGCGGGGGGGCGGGAACACCTGCCCCAGCCACCCCGCTTCGGAACGCTACTCCGAAGCGGGGCGGGGGGGCGGGAACACCTGCCCCAGCCGCCCCGCTTCGGAACGCTGCTCCGAAGTGGGGCGGGGGGCGGGAACCTCGCACCCCGCCGCCGGGCATCGGAACGATGCCCCGATGCCGGGCGGTGGGGCGGGAACCTCTCCCCCCGCCGCCCGGCATCGGAACGAGGTCCTGGACCTCTTCTGAAGGCAGGCGGGGGCAAAAGTCTTTGCTCCCCCCGCCTGCCTTCCCGGGACAGCGGAGACTTCTCCGCTGCCCCGGGCGATCTTAAAATGCTGGCGGGCGGGAGCGAAGCGTTCGCTGCCGACCCCAGCATTTTAAAATCTCCTCGGGGCAGCGGAGACTTCGCTCCCGCCCGCCAGCATTTTAAAATCGCCCCGGGACAGCAGGGGCTTTTAAAATGCTGGCGGTCGGCAGCAAAGCCCTCCTGTCCCCGGAGCTTGCGGGGCGGGAGGTGGGAAGAAGGGCTTTTCTTCCCACCGCCAGCCTTCAGAACAGCCTTCTGAAGGCTGGCAGTGGGAAGAAAAGCCCTTGTCCCCCCCCCCCAGCCTTCAGAAGAGGTCGGGGGACAGACTGTCCCCGGACCTGGTCTGAAGGCGGTTTCCCTAGGAACGCATTAATTGATTTTCAATGCATTCCTATGGGAAACCGTGCATCGCAAGACGAAAAACTCGCAAGACGAAGAGACTTGCGGAACGAATTAATTTCGTCTTGCGAGGCACCACTGTACTTTTTATATAGTCAATATAGGCACAGAGTTAAATTTTTTAACATTTTCTAATGGTGGTGTGCCTCGAGATTTTTTTCATGAAAGAAGTGTGCCTTCGCCCAAAAAAGGTTGGGAAACACTGCCTTAGTCATCAAAGACAGTGGGCAGTTTCTTTGCTGTAGCTTTTCTGATATGTTAATCTTAGGGCCAGGAAACAGGTTTCACATAAAGGTGATCATGATCGCTGTCCTCCTGGCCGTCCTTCTTATCATGTGTATTGATTGTTTATGACCTCCGGGGTTCTTGAATGCAATCTTTTGTAGTTTTCATTCATTTACCCCAGAAGTATGCATGCTTAACTAGTGTTTGTAGTTTAACTTTGTCCCCACGTGGGGTTTGTTGAAATGCTCAGAAGAAATCTGATTGGTTCTTACGAACACTCTGTAAAAAGTTCTTTTGTGAGTAAAACGACCTGGGCCAGGGGCTGCAGAGAGAGATTATTATACGCACCCTTCCCAGAGTCTTGCTGGTTCAAGCCTCTGGGTGTATTCTTATTAATCAGAGTTCAATCCTTCCTTTACTTTGAGAACGCCTCACTACTTCAGCCTAGCCTTCCTCACGCCATGAACTGTGGAACAGAGCAGAGGTTCTGGCTCAGTTTTCTTTGTGGTCCAACATCATGGCTGCTACAGCGAAACGTGTGCCAGCTGGCCTTTCTGGGATCGCCTTGCAAGGCCTCTGCTCGAGGAATACGTCGCAATGCACTGCAAATGCTCCTCTCAAACAACCTGAAAAAGTGATGTGGTAAAATTGCGAGCAAATTAGAAACCCCTATCCTATCCCCATATTTATATTGCCGTTTTAATTTATTGGCGAGGCAGATGCCCATTCTTTTGCGGTGGCCTTTTGTGATTAATACTTTGGCTTCTTCTTCTTCTTCTTTTTCGTTTCGTTGAAGGGAAGACTGGCCATACCGAAGCTGTGCGCGTGGTATTCCAGCCAGAAACCATCAGCTTTGAGAAACTGCTCAAGGTCTTCTGGGAGAATCATGACCCGACACAAGGTAGAGTGATGAGCGAGCCAGTATTTAATTATCTTACTAATTACAGCTGGGATAATTAGTGTTCGAGCTGCTAGGAAGAGATGAACCTTGAAATCACACCGCAGCTTGAGAGTATGATTGCCGGCATTTATTGATGGGGTGGGGAAGAATGAGGAGCAGGAAGCGCGCAAGGCAGCCTCCACCCCCCCAAACCCCCCACAGATGCCTGCCTGCGAAAATTCCCACAGAGAGAGAGGAGAGAACAGAACAGAGAACAAGACAATAGACATTCCTTTCACCTTTGATTATTACAGTTTCTTCCTTAATGCGATCTTTTGTCTTTCAAATTAAAGGCCTCTTCGCAGTTGATGATTTCACTCAGGCACAGAGCTTTATCCTCTGTGAATTTGGTGCGGGTTTTTTCATCTTTCCGGAATTAGAGGTATCTCTTACGATTAGAGAAAAATGAGCGAGAGGTTGCGGGGCTTGCTGATCATAGACCATTAGCCCCAGTGCGTTAGACAATTGTCTTAGCCAGGTACTCTGGTTTGATAGCTCCTCCCTGGGAAGTTTTTTACAGGCTGAAAGCAGTACAGTGGTACCTCTGGTTGCGAACGGGATCTGTTCCGGAGGTGAAACACGGAAGTAACCTGTTCCGTTACTTCCGGGTCACTGCGGGATGCAACTTGAAAATGCGCAACCTAAAGCAAACGTAACATGAGGTATGACTGTACAGTCCTACCTCGGGTTGAAGTAGCTTTGGGATAAGTATTTTCGGGTTGTGTGCTGCAGCAACCCAGAAGTAACAGTGTGTGTTACTTCCGGTTTTGCCGCACGCACAGACAGTCAAAATGATGTCACGCGCATGCATGGAAGTGGCGAATCGCGACCCGCAGACGCACGGACGCGGGTTGCGTTTGCTTCTGGATGCGAACGGGGTTCCGGAACAGATCCTGTTCGCATCCAGAGGTACTACTGTACATGCCTGGAGGAAGAGAAATAAGGAAACAGGGCAGTTTCGGCCTAGGGATTGCTGACTTGCTCTAAAATGCTGCTCCCAACATGAGTCCCTCTATTCCAGATTTGTGACCTTGGAGGTGACTGTACCTCACAAAAGCAAAAGGAGAGATGGGTGGATCCTTGGTGTCTTCCACCCATTCAAAAAAATCCCCCTCATAAGAGCTCGGTGACGCCCGCTTTTTATACAGACTGGTTGCCGGATTAGAGCAAAGTTTCACCTAGATTGGTGTCCTGTTTCCAACTGCCTTCGCCATGGTTTTCACCACTTTCTGGCATTCAGAGGAGGCAGATGTTATCCTTCCGTTTGTACCTCGCTGAGAGCAGAGGGGCCTGAGAGCCAGAGGCATAGTGTGGGGGGTGCCGTGGCCCTGAGTGCAAATTTGAGAGGGGGCACGAGCAGGCACCCCCACAGCAGGCTCCTTCATCAGAGCCTGGCTTTGTGCCAGAAGGAGCTGCACCTTGGCTGCGGCGCTTGTGCCTGGCGCAGCTTCGCCCCCAGGTCAGGCATGACCTGGGGTAGGAGAGCAGGCAAGTGGGCAGCAGCACTGCCACCCACCCTCCTCGGCCGTGGCACACCTCGCACCCGGTGGCAGCAGCTCTTAGGACCCGGCAGCCCTCCTTGGACGTGGCGAAGTGTGCCGGGCCGCAGCAACTCCTTTCGCCTCCGCTGGCGGGTTGGGCCGCGGAAAGCAGGAGAAGAATGGGCAGCAGCCTCCCCGCCCCTCTCTTACTCTGAACTGTGGTGCATGGAAGGGTGCCCTCCGTGCCCCACTCCCCTCAGGGATACGGCCTGTGCGCCCGCCCTGGGCAGCGTGGGCATACGCTCCACCGCTGCTGAGAGCAGCTCCTTCTTGCCGTTCCTCCCGCCCCAAGGCATTCAGAATCCAGCAACAGGGAAGGTGTGATATGTAGGTTGGAGCAGCCTTCTACACCTTGCTCAAAACAATGAAATACAGTGAAAATCCCTGAAACGAGAAGTAATCGACTAGAAATATTATCTTGTGGAAATCAACTACAGTGGTACCTTGGGTTTAGTACTTAATTTGTTCTGGAAGTCCATTCTTAACCTGAAACTGTTCTTAACCTGAAGCACCACTTTAGCTAATGGGGCCTCCTGCTGCCGCCGCGCCGCCATAGCACGATTTCTGTTCTTATCCTAAAGCAAAGTTCTTAACCTGAAGCACTATTTCTGGGTTAGCAGAGTCTGTAACCTGAAGTGTATGTAACCTGAAGCGTATGTAACCCGAGGTACCACTGTACCGTATTTTTCGCTCTATAAGACGGACTTTTCCCCTCCTAAAATGTAAGGGGAAATGTGTGTGCGTCTTATGGAGTGAATGCAGGCTTCGCAGCTATCACTGAAGCTAGGAGAGCGAGAGGGATCAGTGCGCACCAATCCCTCTCGCTCTCCTGGCTTCAGCGATAGCTGCGCAGCCTGCATTCACTCCATAAGAGAGGGAAAGTTGCGCAGTGCCCCTTCATGAAAGCAGCAGGAGAAACGGAGTCCCTTCCGTTTCTCCTCCCGCTTTGCTGGAGAGGCGCTGCGCATAGAGGGAGAGAATATTTTTTTTCATGTTCTCCTCCTCTAAAACTAGGTGCGTCTTATGGTCAGGTGTATCTTATAGAGCGAAAAATACGGTAAATAACAATAATCAAAAAGCTTAAGAAAAAAATTAGAAAAACCTAAAATAAAACAAAGCCTTAACGGGATGCTAGCTACTAACCTCGTTTCACTGAACTATTCAGTTTCCTCAGAAGGAATTAGAAAAATCATATACTTAAATCACCAAAATTCAAACAAGGGTAGAACCTCCAAAATTCTGATGTATTATAATCCTAGCTCGATCTAGGTAAAGCAAAGCGCAGTAATAAAGGATTGAAGACTCAAAAGTACAGTTTCTAATACTGAATTTACAAAATAGGTTTGAAAACCTAAATAGCAAGTTTTAAACAAAGCCAAACTTGAAGAAGGCAAAGCACAATAATAAGGGGTTGAAGACTCAACTGTGCAAATTCTAGCGCTGCTTTTACAAAAAGGTTTAAAAACCGAAATGGCACAAATTCAAAGAAAGGAATACAAGATAAAGCTATTTTAGATTTTGAACAAACTCAAGATCAGGGCTGAAATGCTCCCATGGTCTAGATGTTACTGCTGATGTTAAAGGCTGAAGCACCTTGTTGACTGGGACTGTTGGAAGATGCAGTCGAAAACATTTGGAAGGTAGCAGGTTGGGGGAAAAGTTAGAGGGTGCCTCCTCCCTTCAGCAAGACCCAGTTGAGTCTTTTCAGGAGGATGATCCAAGATTCCCCATTTTCCTCCGTTTGCCCTGTCTGTTGCTACTTTTCAAGCTTGCCCAGCCCTTTCCCTTCCCTCTGGTTGGCTAGTGGAGTAGCTCAGCTTCAACGAGCATGCTGGGCATTGTATGCCATTTGGTGAGCCTCCCACCATATTTTTCTTCCAGCATGGGATGCAACTCTGACTCCTGTTAGCTATGCTGTCTCCATGGGATTTCATGTCCTCCTCCACCATGGATGTGGCATGGCGGGGGAGGCAGTGGTGGAATATGTGACTCACAGCTCATTGACAGCATTCAAAAGGACCTTATGAATCCTGTAATCAGACCTCAGCAGCAACTGAATATTAAACCCTGCTGCATAGCAAGCCAAGCTTGTAAAAAACCAGTGTATTGCTCTGGTGGCTATCTCTGAGTCACCTGATGAGGTGGAGGACCCAAGGAATCCCCTTTTCTTTTTCTCAAGAGACCAACCTGCTCCATTCACTCATTTTTCTCAGTTTGCATCAGATTTTCATTACTGCATCCCATTTTGCCTAAAGGGCCTGTTCGTTTGTCACCGAGCGGGGAAGCCTGAGCCTTTTATAGATGCACAAGGAATCTATCATCTGCAAATAATTAAAATTAGTCACTAGAAATTACATTGTTTTTTCTAATGAACAGATGTGTCTTCTTAGAGGAGCGGAAGAACAGCTGTACCCGTATAGAATGTGAAAGGAGGCCTAAGCCACCATTATGCATTCTGCTATGAGCCTGTTATTTCATTTTGACATGTTAAAAATGAGGAGGGAGTCAACCAGCTACAAATCCACATAAGAGTAACACCGTCTAACCCACATTTTACCAGCTTCTCCCACTAGAATATTATGGGAGCTTTGTTCAGGCAGGCTTAAAATGGTGATTCCATTACAAAGATATGCTGGAGTCTAGCTTAAGAAGAAGAAGAAGAGTTTGGATTTGATATCCCGCTTTATCACTACCCGAAGGAGTCTCAAAGCGGCTAACATTCTCCTTTTCCCTTCCTCCCCCACAACAAACACTCTGTGAGGTGAGTGGGGCTGAGAGACTTCAAAGAAGTGTGACTGGCCCAAGGTCACCCAGCAGCTGCATGTGGAGGAGCAGAGACACGAACCCGGTTCCCCAGATTACGAGACTACCGCTCTTAACCACTACACCACACTGGCTCTTAAGGCGGTGTCTGAGCAATGCAGCAGAGATGCACATTGTCCTCAGATTTCTGGTTTGGTGATGAGATGAAGAGAGGCAAAGTAGAGTGTGCCCAGGCAGGTGAAACTATATATGGCAGCACCCCTGGCAGAGCACATTGAGAGTGTCTCACAGAGTTCTCTCAAGCAAACTTACAGGAAAACTCTTTGAGCTTCAACTCCCATCACGAGCCTATCCTAGCAAACAATGAATCATTGGTTTGACTGCCCTTTGAATATCCCACACTTCGGGCTCCTGAACTGGCAAGTGACTCCATAGTACAAGCAGGGGTCAGCAAACTTTTTCAGTAGGGGGCCAGTCCACTGTCCCTCAGACCTTGTGGGGGGCCAGACTATATTTGGTGGGGGGGAATGAACAAATTCTTAAAAGGTAAAGGGACCCCTGACCATTAGGTCCAGTTGTGGCCGACTCTGGGGTTGCGGCGCTCATCTCGCTTTATTGGCCAAGCGAGCCGGTGTACAGCCTTCGGGTCATGTGGCC